CCCGTGCCTCAACAGTTTTTGCTTCTCCTTCATTCATTCATTCATTGACTGCTTTCTCAAAGCAACGCCATGTAGGCTGCTGAGAGGTAAAGAGGAGAAACGAGAGGGAAAGGGTGAAATGCTAGGTACAAGTGTGTTCTAGAGTTGCCAGGGGAGACAACTCAGCAGGGAAGACAGCTTGACCTTGGACACAGCCTCCAGAGTCACAAGATGGGTGTTCTCTTGTGTCAGCTGCCCAGCCTGTGAACCTGATTCACTTCTTCCATTGTACCTCAAGTCACCCGAGCATCCATTTTGATGGCCACCGGAATGCAAACAGTGGATCCACTGAACTGTCTAGGACATAACAACCAAAATATCTATGAGTTCAACAGAGACACAAATTTGGAATACTCTTGCTCTGCGACCGATGGGCTCTGGCTGCATTTTGCTGTGGTTTTTCAAGTAAACCGACACAGTTGGGTTTGGGGTACCAGGTATTACTGTCTCTTCCTGGAGAACTTGTTATTAGTGCAGAGTCATTATGTTACACCGGTCCTTGTATATGAGCCCCTCGCCCATCAGACTTGAGAACAAGCATCCCTGAGCTCCCGTTGTTATATATAACAGTGGTTTTCAATCTTCCTATTGCTTTGACCCATTAACACAGTTCCTCATGTTGTGGAGACCCTAACCATAAAATTATTTTTGTTGTTATTTCATAGCTGTAATTTTGCTACTGTTATGCATTGTAATGTAAATGGCTGATATGCAGGACGGTCTTAGGCAACCCCTGTGAAAAGGTCATTCAACCCCCAAAGGGATCACGCCCCACAGGTTGAGAACCACTGCTCTATAATTTATGTGGTATCAAGCCCATAATAAGCAACCAACTTTTTCTTTTAACTTTTGTCGTTTCTTTCATTGCACAAACACCACACCTGCGTCCAATAAAATAAGCGTTGGTATTCAGCGGCCCTTTACAGACTGTTCCTGGATTACCACGACTGTTCTGCAAGTGGAAACCATGTGCTTATTGATCACTGCTGTCCTCAGAATAAGATGATCCTGAGAAAACTCGTGTGCTCTAAAAAGAGATCTTATTAAATTTATAGGCTGATGTTAGAAGAATCAATGTATTAAGATATCAGTTTTTATCACCTGACAAGAGATATTTTCTTGGTGAAAACCTGATTTGTACTTTTGACAATTTTCATTAATATACTCTATATAATACAATTCACATTTTTATAAGATCTGCCCTCACATTATCTAAAGAAAAGTTAACCATTCATATTTTATTTTGTGATCTATCATCTCATTAAGCTGATCCCTTTTTATGGTTTTTAAATTAATCCACTGGAGAATTTAGAGCCCACAATCATATTATTCATAGATAAATATCTTCAAAAATTAATCTCACATCAAGGCATGGTGGAGCATACTTTCAGTCCTAGCATTCAGGAGACAGAGGCAGACAGATCTCTGTGAGTTACAGTCCAGCCTGGTCTACATAGTGACATAGTGAGTTCCAGGCAAGCCAGGGCTACACAGTGAGATCTTGTCTCAAAAGTTGAAAAGAAAAAAAGAATCTAAGAATTTCAATGTTTAATCTTTTTCTTGTTTTGTTATATTGGATGAAACAATATTAAACAATAAATATTATATTTGGAACTCTTTTAGTATCTAGAATTTTTCCTATGGTCTATTAATTTTAAATACATTTTCCTATTGCATTAAGCTTTCTTGCTTACAAATTTACCATTCTATCAAGAATAAAGGTTATATTTTATCAATTACTTTCTTATTAACTGCACAGACATAGCCAAACCTCAAGCTGATCCACACTTGGACATTCGAAAACTGTCAGGAATAGTAATTAGCATTTTACCCCCAAAGCAAAGACTTCCCCAATTATTGTCATTCAGAATGGTGGCCAAGTTTATCTGCCGAGGAGCAGGGATGCATTTCTCCTCTGAGGGGTGTGAAGAACCTGTTGAGAAAGCAGGGTTAAGACCACAGCCACACCTAAGGTGTCATCATGGCTTGCCTGTCACACACTATCAGTCAAATGAACTGAAGAGCCCTGGCACCACATAGACCGTTCCTCTGACCTGTTGGTTGGAGAGTACAGTAAAACGCAAAGAAAAGTCTTTGTTTAGGAAAATGCTTTGAGCTGGGGCGGTGGTGGTGCACACCTTTAATCCCAGCACTCGGGAGGAAGAGGCAGGCAGATCTCTGTGAGTTCGAGGCCAGCCTGGTCTACAAGAGCTAGTTCCAGGACAGGCTCCAAAGTTGTAGAGAAACCCTGTCTTGAAAAACCACCCCCCCCCCCGGGGGGGGGGCACGACACTTTGAATTGTGAAAGTATTAAACATTTGTAGAAAAGACTAACAAGTAAAAACCACATATTTGGGGCTGCAGTAACTTTTTGGAGGTAGTTCTTGGACATTTATTGTCAGTTTTTTTTTCATTTTCATTATTAGCTAGTTTAACTTTTGATTCTTACTTTAAATTTATGCATTGGTTCCTCTTTAAAAAAATATAATTTCACTTGGATTTTTTTTTTATCTTAGCACAGCAACTACACAATTTAAAAATAATCCTTCCAAAGAAAACAAAGATCAGCAAGAATGGATTTTACTGTTGTCAACTAATGAAAAGCTGTTTGGGTTTTTGATTTTTTTCCTTTATTTTTTTAAATATAAAAAAAGGTCATTTCCAAGGGATAGGAGCATTAATTTACATACTTCTTTTTCATTTTTAACTTTGAGTATGGCCATAACATACAGATTGTATGGCCTTCTTTTTAATAGGATTTATTCACTTTATTGTATGTGTGATGTTCTGCCTATATGTATGTCTGTATATCGCATGTGTGCTTGGTGCCCTCAGAGATCAGGAGAGAGCATCCAGTAGCCTGGAGCTGGAGTTATGTATGTATGGGGGGTTGTGAGCCGCCACGTGGATGCTGGGGATCCAACCTGGTCCTCTGAAGAGCAACAAGTGCCCTTAACCACAGAGCTGCCTCTCTGGCCTTGTGGGTTTTGTTTTTTGTTTGTTTGTTTTGATTTTGTTTTGTTTTGCTTTACTGGAATTATTTTATTAGCAATATCCACAAATGTTCCCAGAGAGGAAAGGGAGTATTTCCTAATAGATACATGGTACAGAAGATAAAGATTGGGTGCTTAAGCACCTTTACGCTCTGATTTTCCACACTTGCCTTCTTTTGTTTGGTGGCTGATCTAGCAAGGACACCGCTGAGCAGGAAGTGACCTCACACATTAGCAATAGCAGAACAGGTAGTGTAATGATGTATACATAGAAATGCCAAAACGAAAAAACCAGGAGTTCGGCATATACTGAGAGGAGCATTTCATAAAGTTTTGTTTAATAGTATCTAACTTTCTAATATAGACTAAATTACTAACATTTAAAGAAGCTAAATCATAGTAAAAGGATGATAAAATGATAAATGCAGTTTTTAAATATATTAAAATAAAGTATGGCAGTAGTTGATAAGAGTGGTTTCTTTGAGGTCTAACTAGAATACGCATGCTTACTGTGGAGAGTCAAGGACGTGGCGAGGCAGAGAGAGGGTTCAGCAGCTGTGAAGTTTGCTGGGCAAAGGTAAAGGACCTGAGTTCAGGAAGCCAGAAACCCATGGAAGTATCCTGAGGGCACCGTGGTCTGCCTCTACTTCCAAGAGCAGGTAGACACAGGGGAGCTTTAAAGTAAGTTGGCTTGCAAGACTGGTCGTGTCGGTGACTTAGGAGTTTGACTGAGAGACTCTGCCTCAGTGAATAAGGTAGAGTAATAGAGGATGACTCCTGACTTCAACCTCAGCCCTTCACACGCATGCTGATACACATGCACGATACACACACAAAGGCATACACCTCACACATACATATGCACACATTCACAGACACATATATACACGCATACATACACATAACACAATATATATACATACAGGCACAACACACACCACACACATATACACACAGACACACACCACACAAGGCACACAGGCACACCATACACCACACACACACCACACACACATACATATACACAGGCACACCACACACACCACACACACATACATATACACAGGCACACCACACACACCACACACACACACACATATATACATAGGCACACCACACACACCACACACAAACA